GATGAAAAAGGATAAATAAAAATTTCCCTTGTGGGACTTAAATTGCAGTAGGATAGAGATGAAATAACCAAAGCAAATACAGTTTACTTGTGATAAGATATGACAGTGGAACCTCCATAGTTGACCACCTCAAGTGGACCTAATTTTCGCACCACATGTATGTACGTACAGGACAGAAGGTCTAGTTCCTTATGTTGCCCACCTCCGTATGATGACCAGTGTGTTAGAGAACCACAGGCAGTCGACTTACAGACCTTCTACTATGGGAATAAGGGAAAAGTGTTAGAGTGGGAAAGCGAGATTTCAACACAGTTTCCACAGCAGACCTCACTGTGCAGGTGTATCTGAGCAAGCCCTGATGGAAGAAGGGACGGAGCATTGATAGTTACAGCTGGGAAGGGTGTCCCAGAAGCCAGGCCAGTGAGTGTGTGCAAAGGTCCTGAAGTGGGGGGCAGGGCTGGTGCTTCTGAGAAAGTCAGAGGGTGCCAATGAGGCTGTGGCCAGTTCAGGTGTAGAATAGTGGAGGATGACGGAAAGCAGCCCACACTGTCTCGGGTCCTGTAAGGTGCTAAATGAACGGAGTCTTCTACCCTGACAGCTTTGGAGGACCCTGAACAGAGCCCTCAGGTGGCTGCAAGACCTTCTGGTAGGTCACTGTATCAGTTTTCCTGCTTTGAAAACAAAATTTGTGGCAGCACATATCTAAGTTCTTTTCCAGCTGTAAAAATTGATGACTAAACATTTAGAGTATGCCAGGTTCCCACGGGTAGATTGTTAATAAAAACATCACCTTCCTTCCCACTTCCCCCTCTCTACTGCTGCTGCTGCTGACATGGTCACCAAGCACACAAACAGCAAGGAAGCATGAGAACTCCAGGGTACGACGTCACATGGTGGCATGGTAGAGGGTAGACATTTTTATGCATGAAACATGTGTAAATTGAGAGATGGGCGTGAATGTAAACAACTATAAATATCAGTGGGCAGGAGTTTGAGGCCAAGCTGGGCAGAAGAGTGAGACCCCACCTCTACAAATATTAAAGAAACTTAGCCACGCATGATTGATGGTGCACGCCTATAATCCCAGCTACTCAGAAGGGTGAGTTGGGAGGATCCTTTGAGCCTAAGAGTTCAAAGTTGCAGTGACCTATAATTGGGCCACTGCACTCCAGCCTGGGTGAGAGAGCAAGACCCTGTCTGTAAAAGGTAGGGGGGAGAATGACAGATACCTAAGTTAGACTTCCAGGAGCATGTAGGGCGCCTGAAATGAGACTGTCACGTTCTCTTTATGCAGTAATGGCCCCACTCAGGAACAAGGGCGCGTTCTTAGTAGGGAACAAGCAGCAGCAAAAGAGATCAATATCTTTTCACCCTACATTAAATAAAAATGGTAAAATAAGCATTTTCCTTTCTAATCATTTCCTATCATGCATGGAGTGTTCACTTTAATTTTCAAGTCCGTTTACTTCAATTCTGGGGACCGTCTGAGCTCTGACTAGTGCCCACCCAGCATGCTTTCCGTCCAAATATGCAAGTGTGTGTGTTTTCTCACTCCTCATTATTTTCTCTCCTCCTCTACCCTTCCAATTACAAAATCCCAATTTTGCTAAAATGTGAGGTACAGACTTCCATTTTTTTTTTTTTTAAAAGTATCTCTCCCTCCCAGGGAGTAAACAGTAGGCCCACAGCCAGTTTCCAAGCTTCCCACAGAGGAGTCAAAACTGGACCACCTACTGCTAAGCTGAAGCCTAAGTTGATAAATGTATAATTTATCATTCTATTAAGCATACCTTATAGTTAGTTTTTTTTTTTTTCCCATAATACTCACAGTAGGATCTCCATAGGTGACCACCTATCTCCACTGACCACCTCCTTAGGCTGACCTAATTTGCATAGACCAGACATGTACCCCATGTGCGTATCAGTAAAGTAGGCCTAGTTCAGTGGTCCTCAACCTTGCTAATGCTGCCAAGTATCTTCATTGTTACAAAGGGGTTCCGACCCACAGGTTGAGAACAGCTGGCCTAGTTCCTTATGTTGGTTACCTCCATATGTTGACCAGTTTGTTACAGTCCTTGGGTGCTCAACTCACAGAGGCTCTGCTGTATATTTCTAATCTGTTAGGCCATCTTTTCATTGTGATTAAATGATTTAGGAACTTTTCCTATTACCATGGTGTGTTATCAGTGACAATTTCATTCTAATAGAATGTTAGAAGTCCCAGACGACAAATGACTCTGAATTCTACAAGTCTCCGTGTGAAGGAAGGACAGCACATCAGACACCATCGCCTTACATCCGACCCTGACACCAGCACTGTGCCTAAAACACAAAACACAGTCAGTGAAGGCTTCTCCCAGAACAAACCAAAAAGAGCGAATGCCAGGGAGACTCAGGACGGTGGCCTGTCACCTCCTTGCTGTGTGCTTTGCTTTTTCATGCAACTCTGTCTGGGACAACTCAGGGGTGATCTGTAAGCCGCTGTGCATATCACAGTGCCTGGACTGAGGACAAAGAGATCCGAGGTCAGCAGGAGGAAGAGCACGGATCCATTCCTACCCAGCCCTAGCCAGGACTCTATGTCAACAAAGAGGACGCTGAGACCCGTTCCCCTTCTGGCTTATTTCCTTCACAATTTCTCCATCATCGTTAGCAACTGAGTCCAGGCAGCCACAACCCCAGACGCAGGCTCTTTCACTTTACTCACGTCCACGCAGGACCGTGCCCCCTCCTAGGGACAGGCCTGGTGAGTGGTGCCGCAGGTGTGCCTTACCTCCGCTGCGGGCACTCCCTCCGGAGGGCGGCAATGCAGCACGATCATGCCTTCAATGGGCACCTCTCTTCCCTGTGGGTCCTGTTCGAAGTTTTTCCGTAAATCTGCAGAAGAAACATGAGATAGGTGATGGGTTGGCACCGCATGGAGGCCAGGGTTCTTCCGATTTGATCCAAGCAAAATAAATTCATGAGCTTGATGGCACAATGTAGATGCATGCAAATGAGTGCTTGTTTGAGAGGTTCCAGAATTAAAGATTCATTTTTTTTCCCCACAAATATCCGTCAACACATTTGAAATAACCTGGACAGAACAGTTCCTAACGTTCTGTATGGGTATGAAAGATGAAACTGGCGAGCCAGAAAACAAACAAACAAAAAGGAACAGAACCCCTCATCATTTTGTGAATCTTTGCCAGCATTCTCTGCCCTATATCTAATGAAACACATGGCTACTAAATTAATATCTACAGCTATTATGCAGTTAAGATGTGCATGATTTTTTTATTAACTAAAGAATGCATTATTAATCTATAACCTCTGCCATTCCCTTAACCCTCCGGGGGGCTCTAGAAGATGGTAATAGAGTGAGATTACATACTCGTTGTTTTATTTGTAACCAGGGAGAAGGGGCAACATCAACCACCACAAAATCTATAACCTATTCAACCAATCACATAATTAAAAAACACAACACCCTCCAGTCAAACTGCAAAGCTGGCTGTAAGGGTAGTGCCCTTCATGGAAGGCTCCAGGCACTTTGCAAACAAGCTGCACTATTAACCTTTTACACACGGACGGGTGACACTTGGAGAGGTTAATTGGCCTGCCAGTGGTCAGAGAGCATCAGTGCCAGCGAAGGGGGAAAATCCAGTAAGCTTTCAGATACCCAGGCTGACTGCGGACCAGGAAAGCCTTCTCAGGGAAAGGGACACGCATGGACAGTCCAGGAGACGAGAGAGAACTTCATTTCCATTGCTTTCTACTTGTGCTTATGCATCACTAAAAAAGGTGGGGAGGTGGCCTCTGCTACTTTTGAGGTGTCAAAACACGTTGCCAACCTCTCGGCATGAGGGTAATTCTCACTGTCGCTTGGAAGCGCAGGGTAGTAGAGCAGAGACAGGTTGTTTACAAATCTTCCTCAGTGTAAAAGATCTCTCCCTCCCTTCCTGACAATGTATTTTTCTTCAAATTGAGTATCTCAAATTACGGGCTCTGAATTTATTGATTTAATTTTCTTCAGTGCTTACAATAACATGAAATATGTCCCCTGTAAAGAGCAGAGCTCCAGAATCAGTTACATCTTTATAAATTGTATAAATACATTGAACTCGCTTTTAGCAAGAGAACAGCACTCAGTGAATACCAAGCACGGCAGTCCATGTGTTCACTTTCCTCTGAATGTTCCTCTCGCTGCTGTTCCTCCCAGAGGCAGCCCACCTCTCTGGTCAGTAGCAGGACCCTAGACTTGCAAGTCTCCGTGAGTGTACACAAGGCAAGAGATCTTACAAGGATCGGAGCCGCAGGTGGGGGACAAGATCCGTTCTCTCATTTCTCTTCTGTCCCCGAGTTGCAGACCCAGCTTCCTTCTACCGAGATCTGTAAACTGCCACCACCCTTAGGATTCACAACTTCTGGCTCCAAGTGTGATGAAGGTCACATAGCTGCTAACAAAACTGTGACTAAGGCACTGACAGTGACCCAGAATGAGAAACCCCACATGTCGAGCACAGTGGGCCACAAGGGCTCTTTGGGTCAATCCCTTCTCTTTAAGAATCATTCAATGGACCTATGTTAAAATTAGGTTGGCACAGAGGGACAGTGACTCCGACATATACAATACTCCCTCGCTAAGGGAAGGAGCTGGGGTTTGTGGTTTAGTTTGTTTGGGGGTTGGGGCCTTTTCTTTCTTGGTCTTAATTGCTTTGTTTTTTAAAAGAAGTCCCACTCACTGCTGCTAAATAGAGACCGCCAGTTTGACACCACCAAATAATCTGTGTTTAACCAGATAAAGGACAAAGAACAACAGCAGAGATTCCTATTTATTTTATTTCCTTTCTTTGCTTAGTAGTAACGGATAAAAGGTAACACATGCTTAGTGTATAGTTATATCTTTAGGACCTACTATATTGATTGCTTAGCAAGGAAAAGACAGGAATGAAAAGACAGACATTTTTCCTCCTCCTCCCCTAGTCTTGGTAAAATAGGTGAGTAAATATAGGAGACGGCCAAAGGGAGCCCTTTGGAGAAGACCACAGCACTGCTCAGCAATGAGGTATGTAGCACGTTTTCTAGGATGGGGCCACGAACTTATTCTCTCACCTCCTAAGTGCATCTCACACAGGCGGGATCAGGCCGAAGAAAGGACCAACCTAACCTTTTCCCAAATGACTGAAATCACTGGAAGACTCCTAACAAGGAGCTCATTTCATTTCCCCATGTGGAAATAAAAAGATTAAAGACAAATGACGGGTAGAAAACCACTGGGGTGTTACAGATCTGAATCAAACAGTGGTAACAAGCAGTTGACCAGACACCAGATACTACCAAGTGAGAAACCCCCTGTGTCACCAAGTCCTGGCCTACACCTGCTGATGGTGCCTGGACACTGTCTCCTAAGGAGGGAAAGCTCCCGAGTCCTAAGGAGAGTAAACACACAAGACAAAACGCAGTTAGCACTGAAGGACACTAATCCTAGGGCGCAATCGGAAATAAACTTAGACACCTAGGTGAAAGCTTCTAGCTTCACCTACGAATCTTACGACGGGTCACCCACACTAACTACTCTCTGAATTGGCAATCTGAAAGTACGATCCCTTGATGTCCGTTTCCCAAACATAGAAAATGACTCAAACTAAAGAATTGAGTATTTGGAACTATGTTAGTTCTGAGGCTTGAAAGATTCAGACAGGAACTGATCCAACTTCTACTAGGAGGGCAAACATCCCCAACCACAAAAAAAGACTTAAGAGTGCAAAAATAAGGAGACAGACCTCAGAACTGGAAACAGATTAGTGTCTTCTAAAAAGATGAGAGGACAGAGGCATTGTTCAGATAATTTCTAATTTAAGTTCTTGAAAGTCAAAAGGAAATAGCAACTGAGAATCTGGAGTAGGGAATCATAATTAGAATAACATCGGAGATCAAGAAGCCACCACCGTGAAATTGTAACTGCTGAATGAGAAGTGTGTAGCCGTCCACAGACAGTAAACAGCACACTGAACAGGGCAGGAGACCGAACTCGTACCACGGAGGACAGGCACCAGTCAGGACGCAGTCGGGAACACCCAGGATGCCTGCTGGAGTCACAGAAAATATTAACACCAGGGATTGACAGGGAGACTGCAGGACCCTCGCAGGGAGGCAGGGAGGAGACCGACCAGTGGGTGCAGCCATGGGAGACCGCCGAGCTGGGCCCGACACAACCCCGTTTAGGAGATGTCTGGGTACCGCTCGCATAACTGCTCCTGCCATCCCCTCCTCTCTCCTTCTGTCAGCTCCGTGAAGGAGGAACCTGTGTTCGTGACACTGTCCCCAACATTCACAGTACCCTGTGTCCATGACACTGTCCCCGATGTTCCTGGTGCCCTGTGTCCAAGACACTCTCCCTGATATTCCCAGTGCCTGTGTCCAAGACACTGTCCTCGATATTCCCAGTGCCTGGTGCAATATCTGATACAGAATGCGTCCTTAATAAATCCAGGCCAACTAAATGAGATTAAGAAGAAAGTGACAGAGTGATAAGGACATGGCCAGAAGAAGGATGAAATAAATGACAAAGATAACGCGGAGACAGAGAGACATGACATCAACTATAACAGGGTTTTGAAAGGACACAACAAACTGGAAGAAAAAAGCAGAAGTCAATTTAATAACAATAATAATGATAATAGCTCTCAGAGCTAAAAAGGAAAGGATTTGAGTTTTCCAGACCTTATTAGACAGAAAAGAAAAAAAGAATCCTGGATATACACTAGTTAAAATTTCAAATTTTAACAAAATTCTGAAAATAATTTTATAAGTGTTTTTGTAGAAATAGAAAAAAGTAATAATAGAACAAAAATTAGGCTACTCCCAGAACTTTTCCCTATATTAGCTCATATTCCAGAATACAATTAATTAAATTCTGTGAAATTCTGGGGGGGGGTTGTGTATTTATTTTTTAAGGAAAAAAAAACACGAGTGCTAATTTTCTATATCCAAACAAGTCCGAGTAAACTAATGACAGTATGGTCTCAGGAATGGCAGGGCCATGAGATTGTCATCAGCCACATACTCGCCCTGAAAACACAGCCTATTAAAAAAAATAAAATAAAACTAGCAGAAAATGATTCAAAGCAATGAATTGAGTATTTGAAACTTGTGGTTTTAGGAAAACCTGGCAGTGAACGATAAGACCATTTAAAAGTTTTAATCTAAATACTTTTATAGAATAACTAAACATGTTCATGTAAGTATCAAAAGAATCTGGGAAGAGAAATGTGTAACGTACCATAACCATGCCCAGTAATTAACAGTAGGACTTAACTACTGGGCCGTCTGTTCCAGACGCACCAGGTAGGAGCGTGCTCTGTGAGGAAGATGAGGCCTGCAGGTGCAATCCTGGTGACGTCCCTGGGATCGCCACTCGCTCAAAGGAATGCCACCCTGACTCAGAGCAAGTATATTTAACTCCCCTTGCCTCCGTTTCCACCTCTAGAATAATAATTCCTACTACATGCATTTTTTGTGAAGATTAAATGCCAATATATTTAAGGTCCTTTTAGGAGTACTGGGTATGTAACAGGGCTTAACAGAGGTCACATACAATACTAGATCCTACTATAAAGCTGTAATGATTAAAATGGGGGGTGGTTTTGTCATAAGTCAGACATAGTTATGAACTATAGCATTTTTCAGAGACACTCTGAGAAAAAGAATCATCTAGTATATGATAAAAGTGACACATAAGGGAAGGGGGAAAAGGGATTCAGGTTACCAGTTGCCCTTTTCAGGGGTAAAAAAAAAATAAAAGCAGATCTGTGTCTTGCTTTTACCAAAATAAATTCCATACCAATAAGAAATATTTTGTTTCCACATAAAACCACAGCAGTAATAAAAAGTAA